GAGAGCAGGAACACAAGCAGGGGGAGTGGGAGAGGGAGAAGCAGGCTTCCTGCAGAGCAGGGAGCCCGATGTGGGACTCGATCCCAGGACCCTGGGATCATGCCCTGAGGCGAAGGCAGACGCTTAACGACTGAGCCACCCAGGCGCCCCAGAGCCTCAGAATTTTGTTGGTAGTCAACTTAGGTCTCTCTTCCTTGGTAATCATGTAAAAGGAACACTCCTCACATTTAGGTTCAATGTTTATGTTTTATATACAAATTATCTCAGTGATACCACCCAAACAAGTGCTGGTGAAACAGTGAGGAAATGGATTTATAAAGAACCAACTGGTATCTCTGTGACAGACTGGAATTAAGACAGAAAAGAAGACAGGAAAATAACAGTGGCTCTAATTTTAATACTGTTTCTTACCTTAACTTGTTTGTAACCTTAGGTAAAGATTACCTCCTTCTTAATACTTACAGAAACTCTGTGTCATAAAGATGCTGTGAGAAATAATGGTTGGAGAGCACACTGCAACTATAAAAGCCCAAAAGATCATGAAGAACCCCTTCTGAACGAGGGGCCAAGAAAGAGGGATGTTGCTGAAACACAATGTGTAGCGGTATGGGGCAACCGTTTCTTCACAATTTTTGGCACAAGGAGACAAGCTGTATTTACCCAAATCTTACAAAGAAATGTCCCAATGGAGAATGATGAAAGAAAATGTTACTTTGTTAAGTGTGAAAAGCAGACAATCCAAATACTGAATCAGATACCCCAGAATGCAGGCACACACAAGTACTTGTATGATGCCAACACACCTAACTGTGACATACACCTGCGCATTACTGACTATTCTCTGCGTTCTGGCAGTACCAGTACATAATGTATAAGATGGAAAGACCAATCAGGAACAGGATATGCCTATCAAATTTTATCATTCTAGAACAAACTTCTAAAATACCTAGGACACAGTATAATTTTAGGCTCTGTTCTTATTTTTAAGATATCTTTAAGAAAAAAAAATACTTTTAACATTCATAAAAGAATTCTATATTGTTGTTTTGTCCAAATTGTGTATAATACCAAAATCAATTAAATTTAACTATTCCTCTCCATTTTGTGGCATCAACCACAGCTGAGTTTCTCCAAGACAAAAACACCAGAAAATGACAAAAATAACTGTTTTTGTTTACAAACACACAAAAAACATACAACTGCAAAATTCTTAGACAGAATTATATTATAAATTATAAATTATGATTATAATTCCCAATTATACAATCCAGAGCTTCAAAATTTCGCTTAATTATAAAATATCAACAGTATACCTAGAAAAATTATTAAGATATCACACGCAGAGACCCATCTGTTGTCCACAAAGATCTTTTATATTTTCTACAAAGCCAAGTAGAATAGCTAGTAGAAATAAGAAGGTTTTAGGAATTTATTCACCCATCATTTTTAAACATTAATTACAATAAGAACTGATAAAAACAAAACTAAAGTAAACTCCTTGGGAAGTTAAGGCAAATATATTAAATCAAGTTTATGTGAAAGTAGAAATAGCGCATAAATGATATGAGAAGCAAGGGAATAAATACCGTGACCCAATTTGAATTATCAAGAGATTTTCCTAGAGAGTTAGCATTAAGCTGGACCTTGAAGTTAAAGAAGGAGACAGAGGTCAAGGCAAATCCCACAGGACAAACATGACAAAGATACAGAGACAAAAAGGCAAAATCATGTTAAGGAAGGCAGAGTAAAAACAAAAGTCTAGCAGAAAAGACTATCAAAATTAAAAGCAAGTATCTTTTTTGTTTTTTTAAGTAATCTCTATGTCCAATGTGGGGCTCAGACTCATGACCCTGAAATCAAGAGTCTCATGCTCTACCAACTGATCCAACCAGGCACCCCCAAGCAAATATGTTTTGATCCAGCAAGTGCTCTCTGAGAGCCTTGCATATGCATGTATGAGACTATCCACTGCAGCACTGTCTGGAACAGGAAAAGGTAAAAAACAACCTAGATAACCACTGATAGGGGACTATACATAAATCATGATACAATCATAAAGTATAACATTATGCAGCCATAAAATGAAAGTTATTTAGATACTAGTACAAATTACCTCAAAGTAGGAAAAAAGTCTGTTATCATTTATGTTAAAATTATACACACACTTGTGTGTGTATACACACACACACAGAATATCAACAAAAGGATAAACAAAAATCTAGTAAATATGGCTGCTTCTAGAAAGCAAAATGAAGGGCTGGGAAATAAAGTAAAAGAAAAAACTTTCATTGTATATCCTTTCTTTACCTTTTGGAAATTCTCAGCCATTTGTATTTTACCTACTTAAAAAATATAAACTTAGTGGCATCTGGGTGGCTCGGTCAGTTGAGCGTCCACTCTTGATTTCAGCTCAGGTCATGATCTCAGAGTCCTGGGATCAGGCCCCACACAGGGCTCCGAGTGCAGTGTGTAGTCTGCTTGAGATTCTCTCCCTCTCCCTCTGCCCATCCCACTCTGCCCCTCTGCTTACTAGTATGTGCTCTCTCTCTGAAATAAAATCTTAAAAAAACGAACAACACCATAAACTTTTAAGTTACTTTTCTGAAAAGGAAAGGGACAGGAAAAGCAGGGCATACTAGGAAGCCATAAGAAGTGTGGTAAGTAGATATGCATGTTGGAAAGGCCAAACTTTGGCAAAAGTTTATACTGCTGGGTAACTGGCTTTTGGTTTGAGTGGGAAAAAAGAAAGAATAGTTTTGGTGGTTTCTACACAAAAGCTGTTGATTATATTTACTATATATATAATTTTTTTTTTTGCATTACTTAATGAATGAAAGTTGTTCCTACTTCCACATGCATGTGTATTTCAGAGTCCTCATATTTCATTCCAAGTGATCAAATTCCCCAGACCTTGTCATAGGTTAATCAAGGAAAATGGGCTTCCTAACCTCTTTTAAAAATTTATTTTGTCAGGCTCCCTGCTCGGCAGGAAGCCTACTTCTCCCTCTCCCACTCCCCCCTGCTTGTGTTCCCTCTCCTACTGTGTCTCTGTCAAATAAATAAAATCTTTAAAAAAAAGGAGGGGGGCACCTGGGTGGTTTAGTCATTAAGCGTCTGCCTTCGGCTCGGATCATGATCCCAGGATCCTGGGATCGAGCCCCACATCAGGCTCCCTGCTTGGCGGGAAGCCTGCTTCTCCCTCTCCCACTCCCCCTGCTTGTGTTCCCTCTCTCACTGTGTCTCTCTCTGTCAAATAAATAAAATCTTTAAAATAAATAAATAAATAAAATTTATTTTGTGATCATAAATATAACAGAAACATAGTTCAAGACTCATGGCACTTCCACACAGGCAGGCCCTGCATACCTAATACGAGTACCAGCTATAGGAAGAAAGCCCTACATCTCCCTGCCTCACCCCTGGGTGTTGTGCAGTGACCTTACACTTAAGCTTTATCCCAATCTCAAGATCTAGATCTAATCAAGAGAAAATTATTCGTCGATTACAAGAAAATGGGGACCAAGCTCAATTACTGTGAAACTGAGAAAGCCTTGCTAAGAATACACAGGCATTCTACTCCCATCAGTCACTAAGGAATCTAAGAGTTCATGTGAATTAGGAATCACTCCAGAAACTCCTCAACTTGGTCACCTTCTCCAAGAGTCTTTTCCTTTCATTGCTAAGGATACAGAATGGGCAAAATTAAGCAGCTAAAAATTAAATCATGCTCACAGCTGGGCTACAGAAACTTTATATAAAGGGCAGAGATGTGGGCAGATTTTGAGGAAAAGTAGAATTCTATTGAATAAAAGTTTCATACAGTTTCTAAACTCCCGCTTAAGAATAAAGGACCTGAATCACCATGGGAACTAAGCAGAACAGTATAAAGTGAGTTAGTAGGCTTCACTCAGGCATGTGGACAAATGACTGCTGACACATCTACTCTTTACCAATTCCACAAAGACCTGAGTCCTAACTCTGATCCTAACACCTACTAGATGTGTAAGATTGAACAAGTTCTTCCTCCTCTATCTCAGTTTTGTCTTTTTTAAAATGGAGTTAACACTTCCTACCTTGACGGGAATTTTGTGGTTGTGTTTTTTAATGAAGATCAGATATAAAAGGCCTAAAGTGCTAGACACATAGCATTCAATGAATAGAAACTAATTTTATATAATAATAAAACACAAAGACTAAGTCCCTATCAAGAGTCTAACTAGGAGACTATATTAGAAATGTTATATTAAGTCCAAACCTGGTTAGTGGTAACTTAGCAGTCATTTCCACCTTTCCTACTTGGGAGTCAAGAAACTTTAAAATCCTTGCAAAATTAGTCTCTTCTAAGAGGAAATTTAAATGTCACAATATATAAAAGAAGTTTCCATCAAAACAAAGACCAGGGGTAACAACAGTCACTCACATCAGATCCTCAAGGCTAGACTTCTTGAGTAAGGCAACAAATGTCAGTTCTTTGAGGTTATTACCTTTTTTTAAAATTATATTATGTTAATCACCATACATTACATCATTAGTTTTTGATGTAGTGTTCCATGATTCACTGTTTGCGTGTAACACTCAGGGCTACCTTTTAAACATTTTTCTATACTACTAATATATCTAAATCACTATTAGGCAATAGAGCAAGATAAACTACTAAGTCTTACTACATACAGCATGCTGGGTATTTTTGTTTTTGTATTTTTCAAAAGGAGAGGGATGTACATTAGAGAGGGATGTACCAACTCCTGACTAGCAAGAGCACAGACCTGCTTCAGAAGGACAAAATCAGAAGGTGGCAAAGGCTGTTGTCAAACACCTGCAGTGCCTCAAATCTGCTGTTACCTGCATCCCTACCGAGAGGACTAACCTAGGAGAAGAGGCAGATTCCTCTGACAGCAAGGCTGTTTCCCTCCTCAAGTGATGCTAGAGAGAGAGCAAGGAAAACACAGTGACTCTACAGCCACATTAGGATGTGGCCCAGCTACCTTTTGCAAACTGAATCCCAACAGACCTGACTTCAGAACCCAGCCCAGAACAGTGAATTTCAGACCACAGATTTCTACAGATTACATTTGGATTTTTTTTTAGTTGAAATAACAAGATGGTGTATGATGGTGTATGATCGTCATAAGATTTTGAAAGAATCAATGGAATTTTGTCCTGTATGTGTTCCTAAATTATTTACAAGGGCACGTAAGTTACTTATAAGGGCTTTGTTTTTAGAACAAAATATCCTACCATTTGTTAAAGACATTGTTAATGTCTATGTATTATTTAAACACACACATTTGTCTAGTCAAACGATCCAATTGCTGTTCTTCTCCTTTTAAAAACAACACAAAAGGGGCACCTGGGTGACTGAGTTGGTTAAGCGTCTGACTCTTGATTTCGGCTGAGGTCATGATCTTAGGGTTGTGGGATCGAGCCCCCACGTTGGGCTGTGCGCCAGGCGTGGAGCCTGCTTAAGATTCTCTCTCTGCCCCTCTTCCAAACCCTCCTCCCCCCTCCCCTGCTCTAAAAAAATAAAAATAAAAAAATAAAACCAGTCTTTAATAAATACCTTCTTATTATTTAGAATACCACCACTTCACAGGAAACTGTTCCAGGAACAGCATAAAGACTAATATTAATGTTTTAAATATTCTTCATTAAGTAATACTTACCTAAAATTTGGCATAATCTTCCAAACAACATAAAATAAGGACTCTGGGCTAAATGCAGTCTGGCTACCTTGCCATAAAGCACAGAGTGTCTTTCTGAACTCTTCCACTAAAGACCTGGAAAAGAAGAAGGGATGATACCGCTGGCATTAGAGAGAGGCTACTGTTTCAATGCATAATGTCCAACTGTCTACAATTCATAATAAAAAATGTAAACATAAAAAGGGTTTGGTTTCTTCTAAACTAACTCTGACAGTTAAGTAAGAGCATCTCAAAAACCCACATAAATTGCAGTAATTACAGACTAGTTTTTAACTATATGAACTTTGTGCCAAAGTAATGCTATACTTGTAGAATAAAGCAATAGATAAGTTACAAACCAAATTACTTTAAAATGTACATTTTTTAAAAACTTAAAACAAGTAACAGATTCTCTTTCTCCATTTCCTGCAGTTTTCCTTCTTGCCCCTCACAAGGAACACTTCCCAGACCTCAGTGTGTGACCATCTGTTCATCTCTGCCTCAGACAGTTCATCTGGCCACAAAGCTTCAATACTCAACTCTATACCAGGACTTCCAAATCCAAATCTGAAAGTCAGATTTTCTTGCAACCACTTTTAGTCAGGTTTCTCCAGTTTCCAAGATGAATTTTCTCCTGGATGTCCTCTTGGCACTTCAAACTCAATGTGCTCTAAAGCTGCTCTCTATACTCTCTCTACAATCCTCCAATACCCATTCTTCTCTTCTCTCATAGAAACAGAACTTTCCATTTTTGCTCAGCAAAAGAACTTCTGGAATAAAAAACTTTGAGTGTGTTCCACTTCTGAGAAATTCCCTTAAAGAGAAATAGTCCTTCTCATTAACCCCTTCCTTCTTCCTTCTAGTTGGAAGGACGAAATGGTGGTACTCCAGCATCACTCTGCGCTATATGGACGACAGCCCTACACTAGGGTTGGTGGAACAGAAAGCTAGGAGGAGCCTGATGATTGTGGCAAACAGCCCTAGATGGATAATCTCCAGCTTTTACATGAGAAAATAAACAATGGATGTTTAAGTCACTATTAATTTTTTCTATGTATGTAGCTAGAATGAAATACCTCCAATAACTAACTAAACTGAAACATCTCCAAACAACTTTAATATCTGTATGTCAATACAATACCATACTCACAAATACCTGATTGATATCTCAGAGAATCTCAATAACTTCTTGCTCAACCCCTGTCATCCAGTAGGTCCCTAAGATACAGATCATATTTTTTACTTCCTAGTACCTGAACCCTCTCCCTCTATTTGAGGAATTCCCCACCTTAAGAGTCTTGGTTAAGAGACTGCCTCCCACTATGGAAGCTGGAAAGGCCAGATACTTGCTTTCTCAAACCCCCTTGCAGCCAGGGCTCAGGTACATGGCCTGAGTTCTGCCTATTTGAAGCAGAAGTTAGTGATGCAAAGCTGAGGCAGTGACAAATCCTTTCTGGTGACAAAGAGCATCATCTGGAGTGCAGGGGCAGCAATAACAGCAGCATTCACCCAGCACCCACTCTAACAGTGCTGGTAATAGGAACTTTGGTGTCACACACTGGGCAGTGTGTTGTCATGGGTCAGTGATGTTATGGAAGCAGTGATATCCTTATGGGATAGAGTTCCATGGGGTAATTGCGGCAATGGTCCTGGATGTCTAGATTCCAGACCTGATTTTCCACCCATCCAGTAACAGCTTACCAACAGACCTGCATTAAGTTCTTTTTCTGCCTAAAATGGCCAGAGCCAATTTCTGCAGTTTGTAACTAAACCCTAAATGACACTAATGCATCAAATACTACTAATTCTCCTCTTAACTTCTGTGAAGATATATTTTTTTCTTCCTTATTTCACTGCTATCTCATCCAACCCAACTACTATAAAGTGTGAAGTCTCCTTGAATGCAGGCATTTTCCAGTTCATCCTATATGCTGCTACTAAAGCAAACTCTTAAGATATCAATTGTCGTGGTATGATTCCATCCCTACTCCAATGCTTGGCTTTAAAGTTCCCTGGTATTTTGGCTCTATCCATACTGCACACTATTCTAATATGTTCTATCCTCATCTCCCTGAGTCACTTAGGCAGAACAATGTCAGATTGTAAAATGGCTTTTCAGAATGTGTGGGGATGGGGTGTATGGGAGCTGGGATGGGCTGGCAGAAAGAACATTACATTAAAATATATACAAATTAGGAGCACCTGGGTGGCTCGGCTGGTTAAGCATCCGACTTGATTTCGGCTCAGGTCATGATCTCAGGGTCATGAGACTGAGCCCTGTGTTGGGCTCTGCGCTGGGCCTGGAGCTACTTGGGATTCTCTCTTTCCCTCTGCCCCTCCCTGCCCCAGCTTATGCATATGCGTGCTCGCTCTCTTTAAAAAAAAATATATGTGCATATATATGTACATATATATGTATATATATACACACACACATATACAAACACACATATATATAAATATAAACACATACACAAATTATAAATCAGAGCCCTTTTTCAGTAATGTTAAGATATGAAAAAAACTCTGCCCATTACAATCATAATATAGATCTTCTGAACATCAAATGGAGCACAGCTGCACTGATTTTGCATACATATTGGTTCTCAATAATCATTTGTCAATTTTTCCCTCTCCATATCAACTAAAAATTGGCTGTATTGCCCCATAATTAATTTGATGACTACAAATTAATTTTATTATCCAAAACAGATTTATCTAACACTATAAGACAAATCAATTCACAAAGACTAATGATATTCATGCTGGTCTACACCTAGAACTGTGTTTCATATACAGATGGCAATTTTAGAGCTCAAATCCACAAAGACTTAATATGTAGAGAGCTAAATTTATTCTCCTATTAGGTAAATAGAAATAAAAGAATTCCAACAATTATTAAGATCATTAGCTAGACAGTTAAACCCAGGTTTTAGAAGAAGAGTGTTTTAAAATGCATGTGCCTATGAACTCACATAATACAATGGAAATCACCAGTAAGAGTCCCTTGTTTTGTAGCTCAAAGCCAGAAAGGATATATTCTTAGAACTCACACATTGTTATCCCCTTGGCTCCTGGTGTGGTATGTTCGCCTTCCTGCTGTTTTCCCATTCCTTAACTCCACAGCGGGCAGTTCTTTGAAATAACAGCAAAACTGCTCAATGTTACTATTTTAAAAGGAAGGGAATAAAATTATTTTAAAAAGAAGAAAGAAGGAAAAAGAAAGAAAGGAAGAAAAGAAAAGAAAAAGAGAGAGAAAGAAGAAAGAAAAGAAAGAAAAAACAAAAGAATTTACTAGGACTGTAAAGAAAGTTCTATAAAACCTACATGTGAATTTTTTAAATGTGATCTTTCAATTTCTCAAGAAATTGCTTTGAGTTTCCCCATTAAGTTTCCTCATTTACTCTAAGAAAACAGTATTAACAGATGACTTTGTAGAAATGAACAAAGAGCTTAAAGCAAAATCTGTTCCAAAAAATCCTGAATTCTGGGGCACCCAACTGGCTCAGCTGGAAGAGCATACAACTCAGTCTTGAGGTTGTGAGTTCAAGCCCCACATTGGTTGTAGAGACAACTTAAATAAATAAAACTTAAAAAAAATTTTTTTAATCCTTAATTCCCCTCCCCCAAAGGTTGTCACCATTTTTTTTTATGGTACCTGTTTCCAAGTATTCAATAATTTCCTCAAATAAAAGCAAACCATGAAACCAACCGTATTGTTTAGATATACAGTCAAGAGTATTAAGGAGAATTCAGTAGTGACTTGAATTTCTTATTTGAACAAGACTAGATAAACCAAGAGATAGTACCTTCAAGGAGGGATCAAGTATGACTTCTGCTCCTTGTTTGCAAGGTGGCCTTGGGAAGAGAATTAATTCTGGCCTTTGATGCCACATTAAAATCTACAAGTACATGACTTTCAAAATAATTTCTTCTACATAACTGAGGTCAGCCTTGTTGGGTATTTTATTTTTGCTACTTATCTTACATTTTAAAGATCTTCTAAACATCCAATCTTATGACCATATTTAAGACTTAACTAATGATCGGATTAAATTCTCTCAACAAGGTTCTCTGTAGTCCAGGGGTCTGCTGGCCAAATCTGGTCCTGGGCCACTGAGCTCTTACTTTAGAGTTGTTTAAAAAGTGTGGAGGTGGAGGGCAGGGGAGGAGGAGAAGATAGGAGACAGACTGTGTGTGGCATGCAGAGACTAAAACCTTACTGTCTGGCCTTTAAATGAAAAAGTTTGCGGACCTGTGCTCTAGTTTATTCAATAAGCAATAGGAGATAAATAATAATAGCTAACAATTATTTACTGCTGGGCACTGTTCTAAACCCTTTAAATAAATTATTTAATCTTCCCAACCATCCTATGAGGCAGAACTATTATCCCTGATTTTACTGATGAGGAAACTGAGGCACAGGGAACTGACCAGAGTTAGTGGCAGAGACAGAATGTGAACCCCGAGTCTTTCCTCCTAACCATTTCACTAGAAACTAACACCAGCACCTTAAGCTCTGACGTTGACAGTACCTGAGTGACTGAAGGATGGCATTCATGAAACATGTGTTCCCCAGATTCCGGAGGCCTGTGGCACAGATGGCAGCGGTGCTTCCCTGCAAAATGGGACAAGAGAGGCCATCAGTAATACCAAGAGAAGGACGTGTCAGACATCAAAGCAAAGACCTATATTTGAAACTCTAGCATCAAGCCAATTTGGAATTGGTCCTTCTTTGTCCAATGAATATTTCAAACTCTCATTCTACTTTCTGTATAAGTGTCCAGATATTTTTAGAAGCCTGTTTCTGATCCTGGGATTGTTCTACATGGGAGTACCTCATGGAAGCTTATGAGGAAACCAGCATTAATGAAAACCATGGAGTACAAATTTGAAAACCAGGAAGATCCTTAAAAGAAATGAAGTTTAAGACAATGCTTTCATAAGATTTTATTAAAACTACTACAAATTGAAAAGATATAAACATTTACCTGAAATATTCACCCCCAAATGTTTAACTATGCCATGCATAAATGACCAATACATGTATTCCTAGCAATGGGATACCAATCTTTAAAAACTACCTGAATTTCCCTTGAAGACCAAGGCTTGATTTTCTGATTAGCTCTACAAATGCACTGTAACATCTGAATACTACACCTGAGAAGAGAATCTACCAATCCAACCCAAAGCATCTCTGCCCATAACTCAGATGGCCAGAGAGCACTTTAGCTCTTTCTTTCACAAAATCCTAACATTTTAACTAAGTAACTGCATGTCTAAACATAACTAGTGTGACAGCAGAAAGGCAGACGCAGGGCAAAATTACTAATGTATTTAGAAGTATTTAGTGATCTTTAAATTTTATTAATTTATTAATGGATCATACATCTGGTAACAGATGGTTACCAGAATGAGGAAGCACATTCTTTTGTGGTGAAATTGTATTAATGAAGTCCTAAGAAATAAAACTTATGAAAACTTCAGACCCATAGAATTTGCACTTAGAACCTTTAACAGAAAAAAAGCAAAGATCTTTGGGATCCCTAGAAACAGAGTAGTAAGACACATGAACAGGCTTTAAGAGTGAACACTTGCTAAGGTAGAGGAGCACAGTAGTAATCCTGATGGCAGGAAGGCACTGACAGATGGACAAAATGGGGTATTTAGTCACATCAAGAATCATTAGTACAAGTGGCAAACATTTTGTAAAATATACCAAATCCAAGGCATACATTTATGAAAGTTTATAAGGAGCAACATTAATGTTAGAGTTGTAATAAAACGGTGATGAGATCTCAACCAATTCTTACATTTGTATATATTTTAAGTACTTACATTTACTTTTAACAACTTGCTGTTTAGTGATGAGTTTTCCAAAAGTTTTCTTTTCCTATGCCTGTCAGCTGTGAAAGCTGAGCTATTAAAACACAAACAGATAGTCAAAAAAACATTAACACAAACATACTAGACAGCAGGTTAAAAAATAAACGTTGCTGTTCTAAGGGTCTGGGGTATAGAGCCCTGCCTGGCTGCTTAGCAAGGCCAGGAAGTGACCTGTTAGGCCCGCTGTGGCCCACAAGTATTTTAAGTGAGGAGTTCCACTTTCCTTGGCAATCCCCACTACTCCTCTAGCAAGGTGGGCTGCAAGCGTCTACCACCAGGCACCTCCCAGAAAAGCTGGCCAGGTAGATGTAGTCTGTGAGACAATCCCTCTTCACTACCACTACCTGCCTAATCGACTGTGAAGCTTCAGAAATGAGAAGACCCATTCCTCACAACAAAAGGAAAACCCTTGTCTGATATGATTATACTGAGATTTAACATTAAGTCTCAAATACTATGCTACTTCTTTCTCAATTTTGATAAAAATTTCCTATTTTGCTCATTTTCATAACAGATTATGATATAATCTGAATTTCTGGAAAATAAATTATAGGCACATAGATATATACAAATTAATTCGATTCAGCTATGCTACAAAGGATATTCTGAAACAAATTCTAATTAGCATGGATATTCTGAATTAAAATTTTTCAAAATTTTTCTTGATAAGAGATATTTTGCTTAAATTTTATCAGAAAATAATTCAAAGGGTTCCTTTAAAATTATTATATATCAGGAGATCTCATCTAAAAGAAGCAAAAATTATCATTTTTTACTATTAATATATAAAAAACTACCAAAAACTGTAGTTTCCACTGCAGACCAAAACCCACATTTGAACAACACAGACTTTTTAAAGTCTGCCAATTCTTTTCCATCTTCTAAAAAGTATGAGGGTAGCCCAAAGTAAATGCATGATTATTTAATTTCCACATGAACTATAGTATCTTTGGAGCATCAGATCTAGTGACAGTTAAAAATATTCTTAGGCAACATGTCCTCAGAACTGTGTGTATATCCCTCTCAGAGTATCAGTGAATACAAGGTAAGAAAAGACCAATTCCATATATTACAGTGTCAAGTTATTCCTTCACAATTCTGTAAGTAAGGAGGTTGAATCACAAGCACTACACACACACACACACACACACACACACACACACACACACAACTTAGCAACAAGCCTAGCAGTTAGCTTTCAATTTTAACCTATATAAACAAAGCATTCAGCTTTTTAAAATATAAGTTATTAAATATTATCCTCAGCCATTCTCAAAATGGCAGAATTCACTAGATCCACACTGTCTAATACAGTAGCCACTTACTACATGTGGATATATAAAGTTAAATTAACTAAACTTACATAAAATTAAAAACTCAGTTCCTCGGTCATTGCTAGCCACTTTTCAACTGCTCTGCATAAGACTACTGTATAGGACAGTGCAGATTATACAACACTTTCGTCACTTCAGTAAGTTCTTTTACACAGTGCACTTCTAGAGGATATGCAGAAGAGTCTAAAGTTAAGTAAAACACAAATATAATCACAGTTTTGAAACTGTGGTTTCCACTACAGACTAAAGCCCAAATTTGAAGAACAGAAAAATGAACCCAAGTAATGTTTTTCAACACAGGAGGAGGACTGCAAGGTAGACTTTTCAGTGGGACCAAGAGGAAGTATAGAAAAGGAACTCTGACATCTTTTACTGGATGAAGTGGTCAATGGAAATAAAAGATCTGATAACTGCATAAATGCATGTACATCCTTGAATATCCTCTTTTCTCTTTGACTTAGTTCTGATACATTTATTTGGGATTGAGATGTAGTCTTTTCTTAGAGAAAACTGTAAGTGGCAGAAAAAATATTCTGGTAGCTACCCACTTCTCTGACAAAAAAATCAAGTCTATTAAGATCTTCACTATGACATCACCACACTAAAGAGTGACATTACATAATTATTGTGGGAATGTCCTACTTGTTAATTATGACAATTTCAGACAAAAATATTTTGGGTCTGTATATCTGTACCTCTGTCTCTAATCCTAGGTAGGGCTTCTGCTGCTCTACTTCAGATTACAAGAAGGGAAGAAGCACTTTGAAAAAGAGAGGAGCCAAAAGATAACAAGCCGAAAAGTACTTTAATTCAAAGTGTTTTAACAAGTGTAGATTTTAAAGAAATCCATCCTTCTTCCCTTATCAGCTTTGTAATCTATTGTCAACAAGACATGCATAAAGACTTTGGTTAACGAAAACTATACAAGTGTTTTATTCAAAGCACTTAGGCTATTTCCTCTCAATATATGATTTAAAAATATTCTATTGCTTTTAAGTTTGCTAAGGGACTCCTCCTTTTGTATGTTCTCACAATAGTTTTTAAAGTCAACTGTCAAAATAAATTAGATGGCACCTGACGATCAGGGGTGATTTATACAAATTTCACTAGAGTCAGCAGTCATTCCAGGGCCATGCTTCTATCCACTGCATCACTATTTGGATTTCTGTTTATTGCTTCAACTTTGGGTTCAGTGAATTTTATCTGAATAACCTATCTGGCTATAGCAAAAAAATTCTATTCACATAAGTTGTGAATAGAATTTCTTTCTTTATGATGACAAATTTCTTTAGATGACATAATTTCTTTCTGATGACAAAGCATTTCACAATCTATTGTAATTTCAAGTGACACATACAGCCCCTAACAAAAGAGGAAAAGACGAAACTAGGATCTTGTGCTATCCTATAGAAGCAAAGTGGACAATAATATAATAAAACCTAATTTCCCTTAAAAATAATGCATAAATTTTAGTGCTTCTGAGACCTCACAAAACATGCCTGACAAGGATTTTCTAAAATCATAAGTAACTCTATAATGATTTTCTATCATTTTATGCCCTTTCCTTATACCTCCAAAATTTCCCTTGCAAATCAACTGACTAGAGCTTATAAATTGGTGGGTAATAACTTAAAAAAAAAAAAAAAGGCTCTTGGACTCTTGGCTATGATTTATGATAAATATTAAATGAAATAAATGCTATGACCATTAACTATGGGCACAGTTTCAGATATCCAAAGTTTACTTTATTAACACTTCAATCACACTAAAATCATGACGAAGTTATGGAACTCAATAACAAAACTCCCACTCAAAAATTTGCAAAGACCCCTCAACCCTATTCTATACCCTTCCCTTCCCAAGGCCTATTACTTACTTTTCCAAGTTCTGTAAGTGTTCTCTGACTTTCTGTACCAGTCCCAGCTTGGTGTCATTAACCACAAAATCATCACAGCGATAACTGCAAGAAAAATATTAATCAATGTGTGCAAAGAGCTTGAGGAAACCACATAATGAAATCACTAAAAGGCCTGGCTGCTGCCAAGATGATCACATGGCTCTGCAGCCAGTTACTGTCGGTGGTAAGTTTAAAGAGGACTTGGAATCCACAATGGAATGTTTTTTAAGAGCCTTTTAAAAAAGCCACGTAGGCAATGAACACTAGCTTCTTTTCACATTTTTACTCAAAAGCTCTTCAATTCCTCCTTCAAAAACAAAATAAACTGCTACATGTGTTACATTCTTTTTAGTGGTGCATAATACATGGAAAATAAAAAGCACCAAGTCAATTCACATAGCATTAAGCCCAAAGCTTTCAGGTAATGCGTCCCAACTCAAAATAATAAGGAATTTGGGGGGAGAAGAGATTTATTATTTTTTTATTAACATATAATATATTATTTGTTTCAGGGGTACAGGTCTGTGATTCCTCAGTCTTACACAATTCACAGCGCTCACCATAGCACATACCCTCCCCAATGTCCATCACCCAGCCACCCCATCCCTCCCCACCCCCCTCCACTCCAGCAACCCTCACTTTGTTTCCTGAGATTAAGAGTCTCTTATGGTTTGTCTCCCTCTCTGGTTTCATCTTGTTTAATTTTTCCCTTCCTTCCCCTATGATCCTCTGTCTTGTTTCTCAAATTCCTCATATCAGTGAGATCATATAATTGTCTTTCTGGGAGAAGAGATTTAAATGAAGAGCAGGGAAAAGGTAATTAACCTATAGGGACAGTTAAATTTAAAGAAAAAAACTAAAAATAAAGCTATACATTTAAAACAATTTAATTAAAATAAATTGAATTCAGATGGTTGAGAAGAAGAATCTTCATTCAGAGGTGCTAGAAAACAAAAGTATAAAACAGTGGCTACATCTTTTAGGAAACATAACTGCTTTGAAGATATTTAAGGTGTTCTTTAAAACTGATATTGTGTGTGTCTGTGTGTGTGTATGTATTTTAGCAAGTCAATAAGCAAATGAAGGAACTCACACGTAATAAACTTCACCTTCTACATTAGCATTCAATTTTTTCCTGGAATAAGGCCAATTTTAACAAAAACAACTTACAAGCTAGTACCAGTATATTCTTTTGAATAGCGGCTTTGTATAAAACCACTTATTAAAACTACCAAAGAATAATGACAGTAATGCTGCCACTCAGCAAATAAAACTCTGAATGCATAGCAATTAGTAAAAATTAGGTCATCTCTGGCAGAATCCAAAAAACATTAGAAGAAAATGGGGGAAAGTAATGGGGGGGGAAAAGATTACACAGAAAAGCATGTATCCTAAGGTCTTTTATTTACAGAAGTTAAAATTTCAAGTGAATGCTTTTGAAAACTTCAACTAAAACAGTAATATATATGTAATTAGTTAATGCCCCTCCCCCATTAGCTGAGTACCTATGCTATCAATCAAGAGTCTCTAAAGTATTCTCCAAGTTTCCTGACATTTTCACAAATAGCAAAAGCTACCTTTTACGTCCTGGACTGTTTCTCTATCATCAAAGTACCAGCAATGGCAGGAGAAAATTATCAGTTTTATGATAAATATGTAAAATATTAAATTAGTGAAAAGGTTTAATTCCTTGCTTCTTCTCAGCATAATGCTAAGAGAGTAAGGTCTACTCTGTAAATTTAGACTTAAGGCACCTGGTTCCTCAAGAAGCTTAAGCATTCACTGAAGAGTAAAATTATGCTGCCTCTCTAATTCCTCCTAACATTTTCATTTTATGTTTGCATAAATTTATGCATGTATTACAGATAAAACAAGACTCAGTATTCAAAACAAAAACAAGCTAAATGCTAGTGTTCATCTGGGGAATGAAGTCTAAGAGCAAATTTAGATCACCTTTCATCTATTTACAGTATGCCATAATCTCTAATTGAAAAGTGAACCCCTGAACCTCAATAAAAAAGTTGTTGCTTTGTTTAAACAAATTGTTTCCAGTTAAATTAAATAACTGGGTTTTTTTCCTTATTAAAGTAATTCTTTTTGGAGCACCTGGGTGGCTCAGTTGGTTAAGCGTCTGACTCCTGATTTCAGCTTAGGTCACGATCTGAGGGTTGTGAGATCGAGCCCCTCCTTGGGCTCCGAGCTGGGCATGGAGCCTGCTTGAGATTCTCTCCCTCTCCCTCTGCCTCTGCCCCGCCCTGCTGCTCTCTCTAAAAAGAAAAAAAAATTAAAAAATAAATAAATAAAGTAATTCTTTTTGGTGTGATATGGATTTAGCCTAGGATATAAAACATTTGTTAAAGTAACATTTTTCATATACTGAGTATAGATTTATTTATGGTTTTGCTCCATTCTAAACTAATCCAGCTTGACTGGATCTAGTTGCTTCATCTCTCTGAACTTACATCATTGAAGTAAATAAGTTGCTCTAGACTCTAGACCTGTGCTTATGTGGCTGATGCCACATAAGAATTGAATTTTAATTTTTAGAAAATTCTAATTGATACAAAATTTCACTTAACAACTAAAGCAGTAAAAAATACTTTTCCACTAAACACAATTTTATGGTTTTGGCAAAACTATACTTCACTTTTATTATTACATCACCTAAGATGTATTGCAGTGCACATGATGGGTGCATGTGTCATTTCTAGTATTACATAAGCATATCACAAATCTAGTTTATGTCAACAGATGGTTATTTTTCTATGCAACAATGTAGCACTACAATGTGTTTATCTGAATATTTTATGCAGACAGCAGAGTTACAGTGATAACTATGTAAACAATAATTGGTAGTTAAGCTGCTACACTTATTTTAATTATAATGCAAATTATTTTTCTGGCTTAAAAATTAAGAATGAGGGGTGCCTGGGTGGCTCAGTCCTTAAGCGGCTGCCTTCGGCTCAGGTCATGACCCTGGGATCGAGCCCCGCATCGGGCTCCCTGCTCTGTGGGAAGCCTGCTTCTCCCTCTCCCACTCCCCCTGCTTGTGTTCCCTCTCTCGCTGTGTCTCTCTGTCAAATAAATAAAATCTTTAAAAAAAAAATTAAGAATGAAAAAAATTTTAACTTTCAAATGAAGGCACACTAATGAGGCAGTATCAAGTGGAGAAGGTATGTCACAAATTTTACAAAGGATGGCAATACAATTTGCTATAGCAGAGAAAAATGAGTAAGCTGTATAAAAGAAGTTTTAAGGTGTGCCTGGGTGGCTCAGTTGGTTAAGTGTCTGCCTTCAGCTCCGGTCATGATCTCAAGGTCCTGAGATCTAGCCCCACATCAGGCTCCCTGCTCAGCGGGGAGTCTGCTTCTCCCTCTTCCCCTCCCCCCACTTGTGCGCTCTCTCTCTGTCAAATAAATGAATAAATTAAAAAAAAAGTTTTAAGATAATACCAAAAGTCATCTTCAGCAAATGCATATTCATTTAATAAGAAGTTGCCTCTCAACAGTCAAAAAATAAAACAGCTAATGAAATTAGAATTAAACATATAACAAAAAAAAGTCTGTGATTATTAAATAGAATCTGAGCTTATAATTTTGGCCAACCATAAAATAGCTGGGATTCTTGCTCAACAAAGAGAACCATTTTTAGATTGAAAGATAAAAAATTTAATTATCATTTAAGGGAATTAGGTTTTAAAATTTGAGGAAACGATTAAAACAAAACGTGAAATGTCTTAAATTGACCCACCAAGCGAGTGTCAGTGAATAAAAGACTTTTCTAAGAATATTAAAGATCAATCTATTCAACATTTGAAAAATTGCAAGTACTTTTATTTTGAGCTTTAAATGAGCTTCACAAGAGATACTGACTAATTAACATTCTGGGTATGTTTTGTCTCAAACAACTTCTAAATTTACAAAGAAATGTCTTCATCTAATCAATCTCAAGTTGTAGATACCATATTTTTTAATCTTTTACATCTGTCACTTTCAGCTACATAGGAAAAAGTTTCTATCAAGACAGACAATGGGGGAGCCTGGGTGGATCAGTCAGTTAAGTGTCTGCCTTCAGTTAAGCATCTGCCTTTGGCTCAGGTCATGGTCCCAGGGTCCTGGGATTGAGCCTTGCATCAGGCTCCCTGCTCAGCAGGGAGCCTGCTTCTTCCTCTCCCCTACTTGTGCATGCTCTCTCAAATAAATAAAATCTTAAAAAAAAAAAAAAAAAAGACAATGGGCCAGCTATGTGAGATCCAAAATCTGGATTTACTAGATTTCCCTTATTATTAATTTCACTGTGTGATACATATTGAAAATATCTGTGTTCTGAAATGGACTGTATCATGGATGCAGTTATTAAAATTGTTCAGTATATATGTACAAATGCTATGAATCATCACCAGTTTATGAAACTGTTAGAAAAAAATAGAAGATAATGAATTTAATGACCATAATACATGATAATGAATTAAATGATCTTTAATATTGTTAGAAAAGTTCTTTGCCAATGTTCACTGCTTCAGTTTGAGTCATGAAAGAGTTTTACAAAGATTTACCGTACTATTTATTCTAATTCAAAAAAATTTTTTTTTAAAGACTTAGAGAGAGAACACATGTGCACATGGGGGTAGGGGGAGAGGAAGAAAGAAAATCCTTGAGCAGACTCCCCGCTGAGCGTGGAGCCTGACATGGGGCTGGATCCCACAACCCTAATCATGACCTGAGCCAAAATCAAGAGTCGGCTGCTCAACCAACTGAGCCACCCAGGCACCCCTCTTTTTTTTTTTAAAGATTTTCTTTTTAAGTAATCTCTACATCCAATGTGGGGCTCAAAATTCACGACCCCAAGATCAAGAGTCACACACTCCAGTGAATGCACCAGCCAGGCACCCCTCTAATTCAAGATTTTCTTGAAATGAAAGAACACCTGCCAATATTCAACAAATAGAAAACATCCAAGTATGATTTACATTTTTTTCCCTATATCACAGGGCACATGAATGAGCTCAATTTAAAGATCCAACGAAAGAAAAAGCTTATTTGTGACCTGGCTAGAGAGGTACA